TGTAATAGTATTATATTATTTTTCTCTAAAACAAGTATAATTTAATAAATAGACCATAAACGGGCCGTCACAGCCCACGACGGGCCCCGCCCATTGGACCTAATTACCTTGTCCTGTCACAGCCCAAAGATGCGGACCGTGCTGTAATAGTAATGCATGGCTAGTCTTGTGCAACTTTATTTTTTGTTTCCCTTTATAAGAACTATGTTTTTACGTTTAATCTCATTAGAATTTTGGAAGTACTATACTCCCCACCTCCATCAGACCTAAGAAGATTTCAATAAAGGACTTGTAGTGCAAATGAAAAATGCAAGGGTCCATATGGATGAAAGTATTTACGATAAGGAATTTTGACTTTTTTTAGACTGAAATGGTTAAATGAACTTTAGAAATTCTTAAAGCTAATAAAATCCACATAATTTGATATACTCAAGAGAGCCCTAATTTTTTCTAAAGGCAAATCCCTCATGTCTGGCTTTATTTCTGATTTTAACTAGCGTGATAAAGGTGTCACATAGAATCATAACATTCTTTTTGCTTTGCAACAATGAGGTTCTGAATATTGTACAAACAACGCAGTTGTGATCAAGGTGATACGCTGCTTATGACAATTGGACTTCTAACAATGCAGTTGTGACTTCCATCGTACCAACACAGCGATGCAGACACATGCGATCCCTCTGGCATATCTCTTCCATCAACGGTTACAGTGAAATTCTTCTCCTCATTCAAGGACTTGAAGGAAAGAACTTCAGGCACCACTTTGATATCAACTTTAGAATTTGCGGAGATCAATGCCTTGTAATTGGAGTTTGCAAGGCCAACATTCTTAACTCTTCTATGAAAGTTGATCGTAAACAATTTCATTGACGTAACATTAGCAGCCATTGAAGGGTAATTGAGATCCTTTGGTGATCCTTTGTCCGAGCCGGTAGGGCAAGTGACCTTATCTCCCGAAATGAGTCTAATTTTTTCCTCATCCAACATCATGCAAAGGAACTCAATGTAATCTTCTTCAGAAGCTTCGTACACAAGACCGGGGTTTATAGCTCTTACAGGATTGAGATGTCCAGATCCATAAGCAAATTCACCAGGAGAAGTGCTGGTATCATTCATGGGCCAAGCTGTAGTCATAATAGCTGATTTTATGGCTGCTGGAGACCAATCCGAGTGGAACTCTTTAACATATGCAGCTACACCAGCAGCATGGGGGCAAGACATGGAGGTTCCAGATAGTACATTGTATTTTACACGCCTCTCGTCATAAGGGCTGGCCGAGATAGAAGCATTAGGTGAATATGCAGCCACAATATCTATCCCGGGGCCAGTGATATCTGGCTTCAGAATTTCTGGTACAATTCTATTAGGACCGCGTGAAGAGAAGGAAGCGACACGTGGTGCAGCAGGATCTTTTATGACTTCACTCTTTAGTATCTTGGCTCGAGGATTTCTGGTGGAGTTCTGGTAGGACTTGGCCACAGCATACTCTCGATTGTTTAAACCAGTCGCAGATAGTGGGACAACAGATGCAACATCATCTCTTGAATTGCTTAAAATTGCACCTTTTGCGCCAGCTCGATCAACCTCAACATATCCACCGGACCAATCACATAGCACAATCTTTTCCTTAACTAAATCAGGGTCTAGGCAGCCTTCTAGACAATACCCGGCAAGGAATTCCGAGCATTGTTTTGAAGCATTTTTTCCATATATCAAAGGATAACTTGATTCATTTGATTCGAAAGAGTTTACTGAAATCCCAACTAGATTAGTTTCATTTCCAAGAACAGCCTTGGTAATGAATTTACGATCTATGCTACTTGCTGCAACCGTAAGAATCCACGGTGCCCCACTTGAGACAGTACCATTTCCAGGACCACTGTTGCCTGCAGATTGTACAGTTAGTATCCCTTTCTTCATTGCATGAAAAGCGCCAATTGCTATAGGATCCGTTTCAAAAGAAGTTGCAACAGTACGTCCAATTGAAATTGTAATGAGGCTAACTCCATCATCAACACAATCGTCGAAAGCAGCCAAGATATCAACCGAACTGCAACCTTGATTAGTGCAGACATTATATGCAGCAATTCTCCCAGCAGGAATTCCTCCTCTTGCAGTACCACGGGCTAGTCCATAAAAGCTCACATCCTTTACAGCATTTCCTGCTGCCGTTGAGGCAGTGTGGCTTCCATGACCAATCTCATCCCTTGCAGACTCCTCTGATGTGTAAAACCGAGCTCCAATAATCTTGTTATTGCAAGTGAAATTTTGGCCACCTTGGCAAGCACCTTTCCATGTCTTGGGAGGAGGACCAAAACCATCATCTTTAAAGCTATCGGATTCAGGCCAAATTCCACTGTCAATCACGGCCATGACAACATTGCTCTCAACTGTTTTACTTCGAGAGATGCTCTCACTGAAGCCCATAAAGTCCCAAGATCTTGTTGTGTGAAGTTGGAAAGTTGTGCTTGGAAAGACAGAGACTACTTCCTTCATGTTAGCAAGCTTTTCTCTCTCGCGGTTGGTGAGCTTGGCAGCAAATCCATTTAAACTCCTTCCATAACTTCTCACCAACACATTTGCAGCAGAACTTCCCTGGACAACCCTTTCTAGTATACCAAGTTGGTGAGACAATGGTGAGTAAAGCTCATCACTAGGAAGTGACCCCAAGTACACAATATGGACCTTTCTATCTTCTTCATCAATGGCTGTGCACAGCAAGCTCATAGCCAGTGCAAGAATAGGAAAAGCATAAGAATACAAGAGAGCTCCATGCTTAGCCATATCGTTCGATGATCACTTTCGTAACTGGTGATGAGTTCTTTATAAGAAAAATGATTTAATTCCTTAACCCTATTTCCAAGTTCATATAGGAAGCTGTGTACATCTCATGTACATAAACACATTTGGATTAGGCGGCTCTGGCCCTAACAATTTCTAAAGATGTTGCAAAAGACAAGATTTGCCTACTCCCCCTGCTCTATGTACAATTTAAGGCATGCAGTAACGGCACTCAACCCACATTCTGCACGCCAAACCCGGAGTACGTGCTCAAATATGTCTTTCCATGTATGTAGGGTAGGATGACAGAGATCCAAACGTTTCAAGAAATTGTTTCAGATTTTACATATATTTGGCTCTGCTGCAATGTAGGAAAGTATCCATAGAAAGCCACAACCTAACTATCACCAAAATAAACGTCACACGAAAACAATTCGTTTTTAATTTTTTTTAATTTTCCAACAATCAATAAAATTTATTATGATGTTTTGGCCTTGCCAGTTCCAAGTTAATTGGAATTACACACACATGATCACATCTTAAGCTGTCAACCTAAACACAGTTATCTAAAATGCCTCCTAATCCTCTTCATTAGCTAGGCTCTCTTCAAAACACTTCATATTCATCAAAATTATTTGGAAAAAAGTGAATCCTCTGTTTCCCTTTTTTGTTTCCTCAAACTGTTGAGTTGCCAAGAAATTAAGAAAACTAACAAAAGAATCATAACCTCATGCCCTAACAAAAATAACAATGCAATGTTATGACTTTCATAATGATAGATGCCGTAGAGCCAAAAGACAAAATACTGACCCAAAAAAAAATACACATTGATTTTTTATGGAAGAAACTCTTATTTGTAGGGAAGTGGTCCAGTGGAAGAGAGAGTTTGCCTGGTTCTCACGTCTCAGTGATACTATCTTTGGTTGGTTGCAGAAAAATGTAGGAAAAGAGAAAAAAAGGGAAATCATATTCCGACTCTTGTTTTTAAAGGATGTTGTGAAAGTTGAGATGATTTATCATCGGGCGAGAGAAGAAAAACTAGAATTAAATTGAACAAACTATAATAAAGAATTTAACAGTGAAGTACAATTTGAATTTACGAATTCGACTGCTTAAGTACTAAACTCTTCCCAACTTCCAAACTAACAATAACCACTCAAACTAATCTTGCTGCCGTAAGCTCTATTGTATTATTGATGAACTCCTCCGGTAAGCCTCTGTCATAAACAATACGTTTGTCACGAAGAAAACGAAATCAAGCAGTTAGTAAACTGCCAAGGAGTTCGTAAGAAGTGGATACAAACTGAACATCATGATTTTTGCTTATAATTCTATCACACACAAAAGCATAATCATCATATTTGTTTTGTGCTCTTTCCATGAGTGAAACATAAAATGGACCATGACTGAAATATTGTCACACCAAAGTTCAGGATCAAATTTTTATGTTGTTATTTTGAGTTCTGTTCGGGTATGTTTTGGGTTTCCTTGTTCCAGGAAGGGTTTGGAAATGGACCAGTGGCTGGAGTCCCCTAGCACGATGTAGAGCAGGAACTTTTAGCTGGTTTTCAGATCAAAGAGAGATGCAGTTTGAGAAATAGGAAATGGTGATCTGAGTAATCTTGCCACACAAGCAATGCTTACAAGCATATACAGAAGACTTGTCAGTAGAACTAGTAAAAGGACCAAATAAAAAGAAATGTTGGACTAGTAGTACCTGCAGAAACAAATGGTTATGTTGTTAGGGCATAAAGACCATTTTTACTCAAGTGTGGCTTGTTTTTGTGCCTAACACGTGAACAATTCTTATTGAGTTAAATGGAGCACACAATTTCAATTGTGCCAGAAGAAAAGATGAACACACAATTAAAATGTGCCAGAATAATTTTTTTTTTACTATACAGAACTCATTGACAGGCAGTGAATTGGAAGCTCTAGAAGGGACATGTAACACATTGGGAGGGTGCCTTCATAATTTGTGTGCTGTTCATATGTTAAGATCTTTATACCAAATTTATATTCAAAAGATTGAAAGAAGTACAAATATTTTGTTACCAAAGGACTTGGATTAACAAAAAAATTTGGATAATCACAATAAAGTTTTCTAGCAACAAATCCTTCACAGTTCTGTTTTATTTATCACAGGAACGAGTGTCAGATACAATCATAAAATTTCCTTGGTATGCAAACAATGAATTTGAAGAATAAAAACAATGCAATCACCATGAAGCTGCTTTGCTGCGTACAAGAATTGGACTTCTAACTCTATGAGTTCCATCATACCAAATCAGCGACGCAGACGCATGTGATCCATCCGGCAAGCCTTTTCCAATGACTGTCACGGTGAAAGTCTTCTCCTCGTTCAAGGACTTGAATGAAAGAACTTGAGGTACTACTTTGATGTCAACTTTAGAATCCGGGAGGATTTTGGCCTTGTAGGTAGAGTTTGCAAGGCCAACGTTTTTAACTGTTCTATTAAAGTTAATAGTAAAAGATGTCACTGGTTTAACAACAGCAGCCAGCGAAGGGTAATTGAAATCCTTTGGTGATCCTTTCTCAGAGCCTTTAGGACAAGAGCTGTTCTCTCCCGATATAAGTTTAACTCTTGCATCATCCAGGAACGAGCAGAGCAACTTAATGTGATCACCTTCAGAAGTTTCGTACACGAGGCCAGGTTCTAGAGCTGTTACAGGGTTGATGTGTCCAGATCCATGAGCAAATTCAGCAGGAGAAACGTTGTCGGTGTGGTTCATGGGCCAAGCTGTAGTCATAAGAGATGATTTGATGGCTGCTGGAGACCATTCAGGGTGGAATGTTCTAATATATGCAGCTGCAGCAGCAGCATGGGGACAAGCCATGGAGGTTCCAGATAGTAAACTGTATTTGACATGCCTCCCATCGTCAGGGCTATCTGTGATAGCAGCAACAGGCGAAAATGCAGCCAAAATATTTACTCCCGGGGCACTTATGTCTGATTTAATAATTTCTGGTAAAATTGAATTCGGTCCACGGGAAGAGAAAGAAACAACAATGGGTGCAGCAGGATCTTTTATGGCTTCACTTTTTAATATGTTGGCTTTAGCATGTTTTGTGGAGTTCAGGTAGGACTTGAGCCCCTCATAATCTTTGATGCTTAAACCTGTTGCAGGTAGTGGGACAATAAAAGCAACATTCTCACTGGGACTGATTACAATGGAACCTAGTGCACCATCTTGAAGAGCCGTTATATCTCCATCAGACGCATCACATACCAAAATCTTTCCCCTGACTAAAGCACTGTCTATGCAGCCTGCTAAACAACTCTGAGCATCGAAATCAGAGCAATGACTTGTAGCATCTTTTCCATATACCAAAGGATAACTTGTTCCATTGGATGTGAAAGAGTTCACCGAATTCCCAATGAGTGTCCTTCCATTTCCAAGAACAACCTTGTCAATGATCCGGCGATCTGTGCCACTTGCTGCAACTGTAAGTACCCATGGTTGATGGTTCTACACTTACTACGGTACCCTCTTCAGGACCACTAGTATCCCTTTCTTCATTGCATGAAAACTGCCAATGGCTATAGGATCCTTATCGAAAGAAGTGACGAAAGTGCCTCCAGGTGAAATTGTAATGATGTCAACTCCATCAGCAATAGCATCATCAAAAGCAGCCATGATAGCCTCTCCAGGGCACTTTTTGAATTCGCAGACTTTATAGGCAGCAATTCTCGCAGAGGGAACTCCTCCTCTTGCAGTACCTTGTGCTAGACCATAAAAGCTCGCGCCCTTAATGGCATTCCCTGCTGCCGTTGAGGCAGTGTGGGACCCATGTCCAACTTCATCCCTTGCTGATGATGAGTTGTAACGCCGAGCTCCAATGATCTTGTTGTTGCAAGTGAAATTTTTGCCACCTTCACAAACACCTTTCCACTTCTTGGGAGCCGGACTAAAACCTTCGTCATTAAAGCTCTGCGATTCGGGCCAAATTCCAGTGTCGATCACACCAACGACAACATCACTCTCAGTAGTAAAATTCCGTTTGGTTTCGTCATTGAGACCAATAAAATCCCAAGATCTTGTTGTGTGAAGTTGGAAGTTTGTGCTTGGAAAGACAGAGACTACTTCCTTCATGTTAGCAAGTCTTTCTATTTCTTAGTCAGTGAGCTTGGCAGCAAACCCATTGAAGCTCCTGTTGTAGCTTCTTATCAAGAAATTAGAAGCAGAAGTGCTCTCCACAACTCTTTCGAGTATACCAATTTGGTGAGACAGTGGTGAGAAGGCCTCATCATTAGGAAGTGATCCCAAGTAGAAAATATATGGCTTTCTGTCTTCATCATCAACAGCTTTGCACAATAAGCTCATAGTGAGTATGAGAATGGAGAAAACATAAGGAAACAGGAGAGCTCTATGCTTTGCCATTGTTTCGATTCTATGCTCTTAGACTAGACCATTCCCCGTGAAGAATACTTTATAGGGGAAGAAGGACAGAACAATCTTATCTCCATTAACATCCAATATTTTTCTTTCCTTCAGTTTCCAATGCGCATTTGGAAATATTACAGCTTACATAGACATTATTTCTTCCCTTAAACTACAATTTCCAAGTGCATGTTCGCATATTGGAATTTAGACTTAATTCTGGCCCTGGTAATTTTGTAATGTGTTACAAATTTTTATTTTTATTTTATTTTATTTATTCATCTTTACAAAATTTAAATTTATTTAATTCATTTGTTAGAAGTGTTCCTAATAAAATTAAAATTTTTGGGGGTAAAATAATAAATGTGATATATAATTGGTCATATAATCGTGGTTACATAGATTTTTTTTAATTTTTTTTAATTTTTTATGTAATATCCTTTACTAAAGGTATAAGAAGATTAGCTGAACTAATTCATTTTTTTGATAGAGGAGTAATTGATGGAATTACGAATGGAGTTGGTATTGCGAGTTTTTTTGTAGGAGAGGTTATCAAATATGTAGGGGGTGGTCGAATTTCTTCTTATCTTTTAGTGTATGTATCCTATGTATTAATTTTTTTAATATTTTTTTAAAAATATTTCTAACTTTGAATTTTCTTGTTCTTGATTCCCATCCAGATAATAAGTTTCATAAACGGTTCTATTTTTATAGCGTGTCTCTTTAAAGTGGAATTTATCCTTTGTTTTTTCCTTTCCATTCACTCGTATCTCTTTTTTTTTTATAATTATTTTTTTAATATTTCGGTGCATATGAAAATAATTTTTAGAAATTGGATGCGAAAAAATATATTTTATTTGGATTATATAGAGAAAAAAAAACAAAAAAAAAAAAAAAAAAAAAAAAAAAAAAAAAAAAAAAAAAAAAAAAAAAAGAAAGAAAAAGAAAGGAAAGGAAAGCGCATATAGAAATAGCTAGATATGAATATGGGGGCATCGAATACATATGGTGAGCTACAACAGTGGTTAAAGATCCCATGCTTTAGCACCCAGTGCAACAGCCTTTGGTGCAACAAGAAGCACCAGTTTGACTTGGAATTTAGACTTCATTCTGGCCCTGGTAATTTTTGAATGCCTCAAAAATTTCATTTCCATTAAAGCGTGCAGATTTTCATACCTTCCTTTTGAATCCATACTTGGAATTATAGAAAGCTGACGAATTGGATTCCTTGAACCATAATTTCAAGTTCATACAGTTGTACAATGACATTCAATAAGGGGAGACCAAAGGGAAAAGTAAACTCATATATTTATAATTATATATTTAGTAAATTTGACTTACACCCTTCAAATTCAATTTGTCGTACCTAAAACCCTTCACTTTTTGTTCCTATAAATAATACCCAATTTGTATAAATAAAAACCCATGACTAGGATCCAACTCAGCAAGTTACCTAATTAAGCATAAAATCTGATTTATTGTACTTTTCAGATTCCAAAAATACCTCCAATTAAGCCATTATTGCATTTTGTATATTAATGTAGGAATCAATATGGAAACAGTTTTTAATTGGATTGTATATAATGACAGATGTTGAATTTGGAAAGATTTCCAAATAGTTGTAATGGATGTAGGAATTAATTTTAGAACATTTTAAAAAAAATTTAACAATAAATTCAAATTTAGGTAATCAGTTTGTTTAATAAAATGTTTATGACAGGACCCGTCCCGAATTTCCCGGAACCCGAGACGAACCCTGCGGAGACCCCGGCATCACACCCACGCCGGGTTTACTCCTTAAATCTACGTCCTCGTTCACCATAGAGGATTAAGGGCACGAGACTTTCTGCCGAAAATTCGACAGAGTCTCCCCTGTAAATTGAATATTCCCCAAAAGTTCCACCTGCATAAAACTCATTTTATAACCCAACCAGCAGCACGCACAATATAATCTCATGCAATTTACATAAATGGCCTCCGGCCTTCAAATGATTCTAGCAGACTGCCCACACTGTTTTCAAAATAACTTCACGCATCAACCATGCATATAACAAATTCCAAATCTCTCTATGCACACCTTCACTCACTCAGTCCACCGGACAAGCCTCAATTCAACCAAGTTTCGGGACCAACCACGAGGTCCGCATCATACACGATAAAACCACCTAAGTGGTGTCTAAGTCGTGGCTGCACCTAGGCGCTATCCCAGGCTGCCTACGTACCCTACTAAGGGATCAAGCCACACGTAGCTCTTTCCTATCAATCCTGGCTCCAAATGTCAAATAAACCATTCCATCCATATAAATTCATACATTCTCGGGTTTATCCATCACAACACACCAAACATAATCACATAGCTCCCCTCATACGACGGGACGCACCCGGCCTCGTATGGGGTCTGTCTACACGCCGGCTAATCCCAAGACGCGTGCGACCTCTCACTGGGCCTGGCTACATTCTCACCAGCCATCATACTGTTCTCTTTGGCCTGGCTACATTCTCACCAGCCATCATACTATCATATCTCCCACTCATACGTCGGGACGCACCCGGCCACGTACGGGGTCTGTCAACACGCCGGCTAATCCAAAGACGCGTGCGACCTCACACTGGGCCTGGCTACATTCTCACCAGCCCTTATACCATCATATCACCCACTCATACGTCGGGACGTACCCGGCCACGTACGGGGCCTGTCAACACGCCGGCTAATCCAAAGACGCGTGCGACCTCACACTGGGCCTGGCTACATTCTCACCAGCCCTTATACCATCATATCACCCACTCATACGTCGGGACGTACCCGGCCACGTACGGGGCCTGTCAACACGCCGGCTAATCCAAAGACGCGTGCGACCTCACACTGGGCCTGGCTACATTCTCACCAGCCCTTATACCATCATATCACCCACTCATACGTCGGGACGTACCCGGCCACGTACGGGGCCTGTCAACACGGGCTAACCCAAAGACGCGTGCGACCTCACACTGGGCCTGGCTACATTCTCACCAGCCCTTATACCATCATATCACCCACTCATACGTCGGGACGTACCCGGCCACGTACGGGGTCTGTCAACACGCCGGCTAACCCAAAGACGCGTGCGACCTCACACTGGGCCTGGCTACATTCTCACCAGCCCTTATACCATCATATCACCCACTCATACGTCGGGACGTACCCGGCCACGTACGGGGCCTGTCAACACGCCGGCTAATCCAAAGACGCGTGCGACCTCACACTGGGCCTGGCTACATTCTCACCAGCCCTTATACCATCATATCACCCACTCATACGTCGGGACGTACCCGGCCACGTACGGGGCCTGTCAACACGCCGGCTAACCCAAAGACGCGTGCGACCTCACACTGGGCCTGGCTACATTCTCACCAGCCCTTATACCATCATATCACCCACTCATACGTCGGGACGTACCCGGCCACGTACGGGGCCTGTCAACACGCCGGCTAATCCAAAGACGCGTGCGACCTCACACTATCACTTGGGCCTGAGCATAATCACAATATGAGGGGTACGTGGGGTAGTGCGTATAGCACTGCAAACTAACATTCAATCTCCTTATATATCATTATACCTCCACACAATTAATTAAATATATCATACAATAACATCAACCAATAAAACATTCCATAAACTCCCACCATTTAAATTCACCAATTTATCCTAAACCCACAATATCCATTTTACTCAACAACGCTCAAGACCTATCACTAAGGTCATCCTAACCCTCAAATAAAGGTAAGACTATCTCGGAAGTCTCACGGTCAACCTAGGGTCAAACGGGCCTGCGGGGCCCACAACCTCCAAATTCCGATCCGATAGTTCCTAGAGGTTCTACAAGCTCTAGGACACATGTCCTGCAAGTTTGGTCCAGATCGGACGGTCGGATTGCTCACGATCGCACCATCGGACGGATACTTAAACCCTAACCCCAGGGTTGGCATTTCCGGAGTATCCGGGACTCCGTTTTACGATCTGTCGAATCCTCCACGATCCTGGTAATACCTAGATCAACATATTATAATCTCAGGACCATCCAACGGTCCAAACCCAGCGAACCCGGAAAATACGCGATATGCGATATCCGTTCGGGACTCTAACGGTATCCAAAATGAGATCCGAGCACACCTACGCGCTCATGACAACCTGAGGATCACATTGGGACAAAATTGCCCCTCGACTACAGTGCCCACGCGCCGCCACACGCGCCGGCAGCGCGTGGGTGTCCAAAGCGATATCGCATCGCCGGAAAAACCACGAATCACGGCTCAAGACTCCTACCCTAGGTAAAACACCTAATTTGGAGTCACTTTTGTTCTTGGACGTACCCCAAAATCTGACCGGAAGTGGCCGGAATCTCATCCCGAAATCCGGCCGAAACCCAATTCGAAGATCAGACATCCTACGCTCAAAATCGATGCAATCCTACCCAACCATCAGCTAGATCATGCAGAAGGGATGAATTTCCATACCTTGATCGCCAAAAATGGCGGCCGGACGACGGAGAACGAAGCCGGCGAATTTTCTGTCAAAACCGGAGCTTTTCTCCTCGTTTTCCGGCGAAATCTCGACGGCTGACGGCGAGACCTGGCTGGGGTAGGAAGAGGACGGCGGCCCGGTCATTTTGGTACCGGCCCCGTCGACTTTGGTGGCCGGACGAGAGCACGGCCGGCCAAAACGTGGCCGGCCACAGTGGCTGTCGCGAAAACCAGAGGGAGAGACGCGCGCGGGAGAGAGAGAGAGAGTGTCAGAGAGACGGGGGCAATTCCGTCTTTTAACCAAAAATCCCACTTCAAAATATTTACGATTATGCCACTGAGCTTCATTTGATCATATCTCTCTCGTTACAACTCCGATTCGAGCCCACTACATGTCTACGAACTCATCTCGCCGTGCTCTACGCAACGGTACATCCGGAATTCCCAAATTCCTTCCGGGCAAGAAAATGACTAAAATACCCCTATCCCACGGGTAATTTCTCAATTCCACTTAAATAAATTAAAACATGGGATAAATTGGGGTCGGGGTGTTACAGTTTATGTTATTTTCTTTTTATGAATTATACATGACTAATAATCCACTTTATAATTGTTTATGAATAAAACTGTACATACTAATTATGTTGAAAAAATAATGTACCTATTACTTGTTTGTTTTATGAAAAACATAATTTACCTAGTATGAAAAGTGTACATAATTATCTATTCCAAATAATGTACCTATACACATTTACAGGTATATTGTAAAATAATTTACCTGTGGGTAAATAATGTACCTATATTTTATATAAATTATTGTGTACCTATTTTTAATTATGAAAAATATATGCAATTACAAAGTAACTGACTTTGTTTTTTTTTTTGGTAAATAATATACCTATATTTTATATGTATATATTTATATTATATTTTTCATAGGTACATTATTGGATATGTAATTTACAGATTTTTTGTTGTTGTTGTAATTTTAGGGGGCGAGGTGTGAGAGGGAATGACAACTAAAAGAAATGGGGTGATTGATATGCTATTAATAGGGAGTATATTAATTACAATTATGACAATTAATGAAATGCTTGAAATAAATTATAAATAAAATATGAAGTTTGGTGGCAATGATGTAAAAACATAGAAATACTACGACCTCTTATATCCTACTAGTCATTTAAATTTGAAATTGGGTTTTACACATAAATTTATAGAGTGATGGGTATATGTCTAGGAAATAGAAAATGTAGGGATCTATATTGGTACCTATTCATTCCATATGTCAATGACATTCTATCTACTCTTTTCTTTTCTATTTTGCCTTTTTTGTTTTGGTATTGAGGCAGGCCATAGCCAAAAATAGAAAAGAAAACTAGGTATCAGGATCAAGAGGCTTACAACAGAGGATGGAAGTCAAACAAATGCAAAACCATGGCCAAATGAAGTAAACAGGTAATGAGAATAGATAAATAAGGATAAAATATGAACCAAAAGGTATCCAGTACAGATCATCAGTTCAGAAATAGACAATTAGAACTTAGAAGTTTTCTGTCACTGTTTTCAGAAGAAGAAATAATGATAAAAGATTCCAGTAAATCACAATGCTGAAATCCACAACAGCAAACACTGAAAACACCAACAACTTTCCATTTTGACGACAATTAGCATGAATCCAACAGGAGAACAATTACACAAGATCAAGCTCATTATCAACAAGGGACAAAACAAAACCCTGTTACTAGAGCTCTTATTTAGTTTGCAGAGAAAAGAAAAGAGAGAAGAAAACGAACAAGAATGCACCAGATCACATTCTATACTTACAGAGATCAGTCAGTTGCAAGCAACAAATATTAAAAACCTGTTTGATTACCGAACAAGAAGTTTGAAAATAATCACTCGCGAAAAGCATCTACACCGATTCCCTACAAGTGAATACTTTCACAATTTTACAAATCCAACATGAAACCCACACACAGAGACCAAATCCTAATCACACAAAAGGCCAAATCCTAATTCCATTATGTCCACATAATCATATCAAAACTTCCACTAATCAAGAAAAGATCTACATATAAACGTACACTAAACTGCATTGAAAGCCAAAGATATTCAAGAGTGGATAGTTAAGGCATAAATAAATCCAATCTCAATACATTTCATCAGTTTGCAACCCCTTGCAGAGATACAATATACTAAATATTTACATTGCCATTGGGGAGGAAAGAAACACCTCTCCCTAGTGCGTATTACAGTCGGACATACCCATACCAATTTTGCATCTTGATAACATACACTATTATTCAAAATGCAGTTCAAAGAGTGAATGAACATCAGTCCCCAACAGATGCACAATCAACCAACAAAAAAACCACAAATCAAAGAGAAATTTGGATCCCAACTTTAAGCATTACCATCAACTATTCTCGAGTAGTTATTTATTTATGAACAACAGCAGGGCGTCTAGAGTATGCAGCAACGTGGCATTTGGCAATTCAAGAGCTGCAATCACGACACCGAATCAAACCATTTTCATTGCACTCAGAGCACCTCTTGAGCATCCCTTCATCTTCATCAAATACCTTCCTACTCCCACTGCAATTCATGCAGGGCACGAACCGCGCATCCCCACAACCTTCACACACAAACCCGGGTTTCCGAATAGGAATCCCTTGAAGAATTTTTGCCAATTCCCCAGTCTCAAACAGCTGTTTGATCACCTCAGCACCTCCCACATACTTTCCCCTTATAAATACTTGTGGCAAACTCACATTCTTCTCACCCAAAACGCTCTGCAACTCTTTCCTATAAGCCGAATCCATAGATATATCTCTTTCATCAACCCAAACCCCAAACCCCTTGAATATCATCCTCACAGCATAACAATCCTCATATGTCCTCCGAATCCCTCGCAAACTCGTGAAATACACCACAATTCGATCATCCGTGCCTGGCAACCGAATCGACAGAATCCGAAAATCTGGCGCTATGGATTTCGACGGCGCCATTGACTTCGAGGGTCTGAGCTTGACATTCATCAGGGATTGCGATTCATCAGGATTTCGCGACCCAGGTTTATCCGATTCGAAAAAACTGCAGAGCTTCTTGACCTTCCCTTTGAAGGAACTGCTGGCGGAACGCACCGTCTCGATGGAATTGTAGAATTTCTTGAAGGAATTTGTGTGGTGATCGATCGAAGCATGGAAATGGGGCTTCTTGGGAGCATCCATGGGGGTAGGGTACATGCTGAGCGATCGATTGAAGAACAAGGTGGTGGGTTTGGGCTTACCCGACAATTCGAGCCTATTTTCAAGATCCGCCATCGACCCAGATGAAAAATCACCGGGAATTTGAATTAATTGAGCTCCTTTTTGGTGTTCTGCAACCCTAGGGTTTGAATTCAAATTCGAATTCGATCCAGAAATGAGCAGAATTGACCGTACAAATTAGGTCTAACGAGAAATGTTGAAAAAATGAATTGATCGGAACAAAACCAGACCGTTGGATTACAGAGAAGGGCGGTGGAGAAAAAAAGGAGGTGGTGACGGCGGAGGATTGTGAGATTATAGGTAGGTAGGTAGAAGATGAGGGTAATTGGGTTTGTTGCTTTTTTGTGCTGTCAAAAGCGAGTGATTTTTTGGTTTTGTTTTTTTATTCAGTTTTGTTTGTTGTGATGAGAAAACGTGGAGAGCTCTCTCTCTCCTCCCTCCTATGGCTGCTTTTCAAAGGGAGACTTTTTATTATTATTATTATTATTTATTTTATTTTTGGTTTCGATAATAACAAAGCTAAGGCGGTTTGATTATGTCTGTTTTGTTGGAAAAAGAAAAGAATTTATAGTGTTATTATATGGAGAGAGAATTGGAAAAATTATTTAATGTTTTAGAGAGAGAGAGAGAGAGAGAGAGAGTGCTTTTCTTGACTTTAGCCTTGGATTTGTTGATTGCTGACATGAGGGCCCACCGTCTTGCTTTGATTTTAAGACGCGGGAATCCAGCAAAAACATGATTAATTACGCGGTTATTTATTTATTTTATTTATTAATTCCTTGATTGAAGTATTTTATTTATTTTCATGTTAAAAAGTTTTATTTTTTTATTAGCTGAGTAGCAGAATATTTTGTCACAACCAAGCATCAGAATTGGATAGTTGCTCTGTCTCTGTGTATCTTTATGTCGTGGTGTAATTCTTGTTATGTTTCTCCTGCGTGTGCTGCTGTGTTTTTAATTTATTATAGAAATGCTTGAACATTTCTCACAAATCCCAAGCATTGACTCTGTTATGGTATTTTCTAAATTGTAATGTTTAATGGTTTATTTAGATGAAATGATTCAAGATGAAGAATTTAGGGTTTTAGACTTCTTCTTTTTATAATGTAAACTGCTTAAATTATGATTTAAGTAAAAAACATTTTGATGTTATCACTTTTGAAAAGCTACATGTATTATTAACTACTAGAATATACATTTTAGTTACATGGTCAATTATCTGCACATAAATTTTTAGATAGTCTATATGTTATGTTATTATGCAGTTAATTGCCTGTCAATTATAATGTTAAGAGATAATTGCTCATTACTTAGAATCAAATAATATTAATTCAACCAACGGGATCTAGTCCAGTGAAAAATGGCTTTGACTTGCATACTAGAAGTTTCATGTTTGAATCACCATGGCATCTTGATTGTGTGTGTGAGAGAAACCTCCCTCCCAATACTTTAAATTATCACTTACACTCAAAAAATAATATTAATTCTAAAATAAATAAATAAATAAAGAATCAAATATTACTTTTGGGTCTCGTTTGGTTCATGGGAAATGAGGCTTGGGGATGAGAAATTAATTGTTTTCCCATGTTCGGTAAGTTCAGACATGGAAAATGGTTGCCTTGCACATGGGGAAGTAGGGGAAAGTGAAGCCCTCCTACCCCTTGGGATTTGTTTTCCCTCATGGGACAATTTGAGAAAATGAGTCAATATTAAATGTGCATTTTTCATGACTATTTTATCCCCATTAAAAATTTAGAATTACAATATTTTATTAAATGCAGTTTTTTTTATTTGATTCAATATGGGTATAATTGGAAAATTATAAAAACTTTGTTTTCCATTCCTACTCAAAACAAACATGAGAAATGAAACAAAGTGATATCTACCAATTACTTTCCCAGCATTACCAACACATGGAAAATAAATCTTCAATTTCCCATCCCTTATAGCATTTCCACCCATTTGCCATGGCAAAGGGCAAGGGCAAAACAATGGTTGTTACTATTCACCTGAATAGTGGCAGTCCTTGCAAAATGTTGTGGTGTTTCTATCCATTGCCATGGCAACCACTATTCACATAAGATATGAGGAGAGGAATTTGTATAGAGTTTTGGTGTGGAAAATGAAGAATGACTAAGTATTTATTTTTATAAAAAATATGAAATTTTTTGTATTTTTTGTAGATTTTTTTTATTTGCTGATGTCAGCAAACCCAGGCTAGAGTACGGGCTCGTTTTGCCTGAGGGCTGGCCTAGTTTCTTGGGCCTCAACAGTTGCCCTGGTAGCTTCAGCCCGCTGGAAGATGAATTTGGGGCTTGGGCCCCCTCCTGCCCTAGCAAGGGCAACCCGCTAGAACTGCTTTTAGAAAATAACATGGGAAATAATTTTTCTTTAAATTTGTTTCGTAAATCAAATGGGATTTTGGTTAATAAAAATGCATCAATCATAATGCTGTAGAGATTTAGTGGGCTGTCCAATCTTATCCCACTTTATTGACTTATTTATTTTGGTGGTGGGGAAGGGTGGACTAAATTATTTATTAGGCCTCAATAATGGATCCAAAGTTTGTGAGATCATCATCATGAGTTTTTCCATCAACATCCAACCAAAAATCCAACCAAAAAAAAAAAAAAAAAAAAAAAAAAAAGTAAAGTTTTTAATGATGGGCATGGGAAGGGTTAACCCCAGCTACCACTACACGCTACAACAAAGAAGTCAATTCTCAGCTACAAAGGGACTATTATATAATTATTTCTTTTTAAAATGGTTCGACTTAAACAAATTTTATTAATTTTTTATTTGAACTCTACTGAATATATATATAAAGTAAAAGACAGGGAATGGTGAAACATTCAAAATATCAGAAAATGCATCTGGTTAATTCAAATATTAAAATTTAAAATTATTAATTAAATAAGGATAATATGGTAAATTCACATTTTTTCATATTAAAAAAATTAAAATTAAAAACAAAATTAGATAATAGATCCTACTTTTATAAAACATAACTACCCATATTATTTTTTCTTCATTCTAAAAATAAAATAAAAAATAAAAAATAAAACCATTTGGCTCATTCTCTTTAGGCATTATCAAATTCTTTCTTTTTTTTTGGGTGGGAAGCCATTATAACACTCAATGATGGTTTATTCACCACGAAGGCAAGAATAGATCTATTTGATTTATTAAATAAATTATGAGTTCGATAAAGCTTGAATTAGTTGAGTTGAGAAAGGGCATCTGACAACCTATATAAGTTCATAAATAAGGCAACCAAATATAAAATAACCCTACAATACTAAAATTCTAGAAACCTCTAATAGATAATCCATTAAAAAATACTAAAATAACCAAAAAAAAAAAAAAAAAAAAAAAAAAAAAAAACTCTAATGGTAGTATTATAATTTTTTAAGTTTTCCAAGGCTTGTATGATATATTTGAAAACCCTAAAAATTATAATACTACCATTGGAGTTTTTTTCTTTTAAAAATCATCATGCAAGGATAATAATTGTATTTTACACGTCATTCAAATAATACAGTTGGTCCTTTTCAGTTTTTTTTCTTTCTTCAATTTATAAGTTTTAGTGTTTATATATAAAATCATTGCTTAAATGTCAAAATGGTCCCTGTGTTTTATCTATTCGGCCGATTTAGTCAATGTATTTTTAATTTGGTTAATTTAGTTCTTATTTTCACATATGTTAGCTAATGTAGTGGACATAAAAATATTTTAACACATAAACCCAAACCTTCAGGACTCTATTCCTTGTGTTTACATATGTTGCGTTCATGAGAATTGAGGGATGTACTTGGGAACAAGTTCATGTGAAAATGTAATTGGAACATATGAAGTTCTCTTAAAGTTCTTTCTTGATTTATTTATTAGATTGATTCTATTAAAGTTCTTTTTGGAACAAATTAAGTACCTCACACAATACCAAATACCAGTCATCACTACCACACATACAGAGCACTGTTGACAAGCCAAGTTCATCCAGGGACGACCTTCAGTGCCCACCAATTCTTTAGGTTTTTTTCACATTGGACGTTTCATTTCATGCAAGCTTTTTTTTCTTTTTTTTGTTTTTTTTCTGAACTTTACAAACCAATTAGTGCTAACAAACAATTTTGATAGATATGTAAAAATGTATTAGATCCAATATACCCAGGTCGCAAAAATTGTGGCTTCAAATAGAGCTTGGCATAGATTCACCTCTTTGAAACCTTTGCTAAGAAGAAAACTTGAAGCTTGGTGGTCATCATTTACTGAACTCCATAAATTCAAACGTTTGGGTGGTTTTGGTTTTGAAATCTCTACCTGGTTTTCGGTTTTGAATACTCACCTGGGTTGTTTGAGCCTCTATCAGATTCAATTAGTCTGTGTTCTACCTTTATGCAGACTCACGTGATTGATATTCAAGGGAACTGATTGAATTTGAAACCCCAAATTCTCATGAATGCAGTTGTTTGTCAGAGAATATGGTGTTTCATGAGAATTTGGGGTTTCAAACGCTTGCGACTTTGATTTAATTTGATAGTCAGAGTCGCGAGCATTTGAGCGTTTCAGTTTATGTGTTAAAATACCTTTATGCCCACTCACGTGCGATGTACATGTCCATTTTCACGTCTATTTGACAGATTGTCCTATATTGGTGTTGAGGCCCAAAAAATCCAAGGTTGGGCCCAAAAAAATTCCTGGCCTAGTGTGACATCTTATTAAAAAAAGACCCGGTTCAAAGCACACGAAATTCGTCATGCACGCTTGCACGAGCCACGAGCACGTGCCATGCCAAATAAATATGCAATCCATCACGCTAAGAATTGAAATGAGCCTATAAAAGGCACTAGCTCTACAAGCCCATGCTAATTATCCCGTCAAGCATCATATCTCTTTTCAAAGACGATAAAATTCAAGCACGCCAATCGATATGCAATGCCAGGTGGAAAATCATTATTTTTACACCTCGCCACTCTACAAGCTTAAGTGGGCCCAAGCCACGCAAATACTCGAGGCTTGCTGAGTGGGTTGTGGTATGGATGATAACGAGCATT